GTGGGGCACCCGTTTTCTTCGTTTTTGGCGAGGCGAGTGGGAGGGACTGCTCAGCGAAGCACGGCAGTTTGCCCCTCAAGGCCGTCACGTCTTTGCGCCGGCGGGGGAGGGTCGTGTTGACGACGAGGCGGGACCCTCATTGGATGCAGTCCGAAGGCGAGCAGCGGCACGCCTTGTCGGCCTGGGCGAGCTCTCGCGTGCGGCGAGTCGCCTCACATCGGCGCCCGTTGCGGCGGCGAATCAGCAGACACTCGATCAGCTGCGCGCCCTCCACCCTGACGCCGCTCCGATCGACAGGCCCGCTGCACCGGCAGGAAAAGCCCCTCGCCTGGAGACCAACCGTGACTTCCTTTTGACCGCACTGAAGAGCGCGCCGCGCGGAGCAGCCGTCGGACCGACCGGCTGGCGATATGAGCACCTCCAAGTGCTCCTTAGCGAGGCCCACACCAACGCCGAGGCTGTGCCCGTCCTCAAGTTCGTGCAGCGGATGTTAGACGGCGACTTGCCCCCACTGGTGACGAGACTATTGGCCGCCGCCCGCTTGTTCGCATTGGAAAAGCCGGGGGGAGGAGTGCGGCCGATCGCAATCGGCGACGTGCTTCGTCGATGGGTGACTCGGGCGCTGTGCATGCAACACAAGCTGGAGTTTGATGAGGAGTTCCGGCCCCACCAGTTTGCTGCCGGCACGTCCGCTGTCGGGGAGAAACTCTTCCGTGCGGCGCAGACTTACATCCAGACGCAGGACGCCGGAGGCCAAGATGCAGACGAGCCGCCCACCACTCGCACCCTCCTCTCCCTCGACTGCCGCAACGCCTTCAACGAGATCAGCCGCCAGCGTATCATCGACGAGCTCGCCGTCAAGCACCCGGCCATGGTCGCATTTTTCTGGCAGTTCTACGGCAGAGCTGCGCCATTGTGGTACACGATGGAGGACGGGCGCGTCGAGACTATCGACAGTCGTCAAGGCGTATAGCAAGGCGATGCGACGGGCCCTTTCCTTTTCTGCCTCGCCTTTCAGCCGGCCCTCCGTCGACTGCAGGAGCAGTTCCTGGCTGCGCTTGTCGGAAGCCTTATGGATGACGGGCTGGGGGGTATGGATGAGTGGGACGTCCCCTACTTTCTGGCGGCCGCCGCAGTTGAATCCCGCGCTATCAACCTGGTGCTGCGGTTGGATAAGTGCCATGCGTGGTCTCCGCATTGGCGCTCGACCGCTGACATTCCGACGGGCATCACGAGTCGAGGTGTGCGCGCGTCTACAGAAGGGATCATCCTCCTGTCCGCCCCGATCGGTACCCCGGCCTTCATCGCGCGCATCGTGAATGAGGTCGTCGCCAAGCATCAGCGCCTCCTCGACGCCGTCGTGGCGTTTGCCGTCGACGATTGGGACCATGCAGTGCAGGGGGCGAACCTGCTCCTTCGCTACTGTAAGTCCCCTCGCTTCCTCTACTGGTGCCGCCTCCTCGCTCCCTCCCCGCCGCTCTTGGCGGCCGCCCGTACACATGATGCTGCGAAGGTCATCGCATTCACCAGCATCCACCGCACGGGCGCTTTGTCTACTTCAGCACACCGGCAGGTGCAGCTTCCCATCCGGTTGGGGGGCTTTGGGCTGGTGTCGTCTGCGCGTGTCGCACCGGGTGCCTATTTGGGGTCGGTGGCCGTCACCGTGGGGATGTGTGGGATCGTTTCCGTGGGCAATCCTGGATGCCCGAGTCAGAAGCCTCTCTTCTCCAGCTGGACTGGCTCGTCTCGGCGGCATCCGCCCGCATCAATTTCTCCGCATCCCTCCCCTCTGTCGCCATCCTTCCTATCGCGCAACTCATCGCGCGCCCGCAGGCCCGCCTGCAGCAGAAGATCTCTGCCGCCCTTGCGCAGAAGGACTTCGACACCCTCTTTGAGTCTTTCCCAGCTGGCAGCCGTGATCGGTGCCGCCTTCTCTCCTGCCTGGGGCCCCTGTCGTCTGGCTGGCTGTCGGCCATCCCCGCATATACCCGAAGTGACAAGCGCAAGTGCTTGAACAACTACGCCTACCGCCTCGCTACGGCCCTCACCCTCGGCATCACTTTTCCCCTCGCCAGCCTCGCACCGTCATGCACGTGTGGAGCGGGCATCGACACCCCGGGCGACCACTTCTTCCTCTGCAGCCGCGCGACGGCGGAGCGCGTCTTCAAGCACAACACCCTGCTGGACGTCTTTAAGGCAATCCTTGCGGAGGTGGGCATCACGGCTGTCATAGAAGTGCCCCTGCGGTCTCTTGACATCACCCCTTCAAACGCCCAGCCCAACAGTCAGCGCATGGACCTCTTCTTCACCATCGACGGCGGAGGTGTCCTGTGCGACGTCACGGTGGTCCATCCATGCCGGCCCGAGAACTCAACCGCCCACCACACCCAGGTCAACCGCAGCAGCGCACGTCGGCCGGGCGGTTTTGCAGCTGCAGGGGCGGAGCGCGACAAAGATTGCAAGTATGGTGCCAACTGCCGGCAGAAGGGCTACACCATCGTGCCCCTAGCAGCGGAGACGTTCGGCCGTTAAGGTGGCGAGACCCTCACTCTGCTTCGCCGGCTGGCGCAGCGGCGCGTCCTCCCACCCGCCAGCTCTGCAGAAGACCGTGTATTTTTTCATGAGGGCGTCATGAACCATTGGGGGCAGTGTTTGTCGGTCGCGCTGATGCGCTGGAATGCTTTTCAAGTGTCCTGCCGCGCTCATCATGCGGCCGATGCTCGGACACAGCAGCGGGCGGGTCTGTTTCCTGAGGACCTCATCTCTCGAGGGCCCTACAGGGCACAAACCCGCACGTTTGCCTGCCAGGACCGGCCGTGAGGGATTGATTTGGGGACGTGTTGTTATGGATCGGGCTTGGGTTGCAGGGTGGTTTGGTAGGGCATGTGATAGTCGCTTGTGTGATTGCGTTTGATGGGCTGTTCGGTTTATATCAGGGTGCTGCTATCATCCATGCCGTATGGTGCGCATGTGTTTCTGCGATTGCTTGTGTCTTTGCGTGAGCAAATCCCATACCGACTCTAGATCAGACGTGCTGGTCGCCCATGCTTCCGTGTAAACGTTCATCAGATCTGCTTCCAGGACGTGTTTGCCGCTGCTGCGGTGGCTCCCCAGGTTCTACTGAGGCTGCTGGCGTCTTGATTTAAACAAGATGATGGAAGATCTCCGAGTCGGCATGATCTCGCGCGCATCTGCCCAATGAAGCTGCTCCCCCCCTCCCTCCTCCCCCTCTCCCTCCCCTTCGCCCTCTTCGGCGCAGATCCATCGGGCGCTCACAGGCATAGTAGCCACGACCTGTGCTCATTCATCCCAGTCCGCAGCCACAGCAGCGGCAGCCGGCTGCCGTGCACACCCAAACGACGGTCTCGGCGAGGCAGTGGTGGTGGTGGTGGTGTGTGGATGGCCAGGGGGGCCAAGGCTGAGAAGAAGGCAATGCTCGACAAGATGGCCGCACCCACTGAAGCTGACTCGCAGCCACGGAGGATCAAGTACCCACACACGCACGAACACAGAAGCAATATGAGCATCATGGAGAGATCTATCCGTTTCTCGCCTCTCTCTCTCTCTCCCTGGTGTGTGTGTGTGTGTGCGCCTTCGTCCGTCAGGTTCCCCCGCCCCCTCCCCCCTCTCAACCTGGACATCGAGCGCATGTGGGCCAACAGGCACAAGCCGCACATCGAGGAGCTGCCCGAGGTCTTCAAGGCGCTGCAGAACCCCCCCTATGACCAGAAGACCCACCCCGATCAGTTCAGCAAGTGGATGGAGCAGCAGAGCTCGCAGATGGTGCAGCGAGATAGGAGCATCTTTGAGAAGGCGTAAGTGGGTCGATTATGGCTGGGGGCATGGGCGCAGGGGCATTGTGTGTGTGTCCTCAGGTCTGATGAGGACATAGCGGAGATCCACAAGCAGACGGGCATGGTGGAGGGCCGTGACTACCTCACACACATACCGCAGAGCCTCCTCGTCAAGCACGGTAGCAAACCGCCCTCTGCACCCAGACCAGACAAGATGCCATGTGTGTGTGCCTTTGTTGTTCACTCAGTGAATCCCGATGGCACTGAATGGTGGGAGGTCGACACGCCAGCAGATGAGTACAGGGTGAGCACTCCCCCTCCCTCCCTCCCTCACTCCGTCCCACTCTTCCATCTGTTCTGGCTGCTGCAGCCGGAGCAGGGCACGGTGCATTCGTCGGGCCAGTGGGTGCCGCCCATCAAGGACTGGCCCGACCCGTTCGACCCCCTTGTCGCAGCGGAGCGGGAGGAGCTGCTGCAGCAGCAGGAGGGGCCCACCAAGAAGCCTGAGGAGGAGACCAAGAGGGCAGGGAGGACATCCAGGTAGGTCGCTTGGTTGGCACATCCGGTCGATGACGTCCGTGTGGTGATATTGTCAGGTTTCGGCGGTCGTCTCGTTTCCAGCGTGAGGTTGCTGCTCGTGAGGCGAAGAAGGAGGAGGAGAAGATCGATCTCGAGTTCATGCGGGACCCCAACGTCACGGTAGGTCGGTGTGGGCTCTGCAAACACAAAACACAAGCTTCATCATTGTGTGTGTGTGGTCTGTGGCATCCGTCCGTCCACCCCCATCAGACATACGAGGAAGAGTATCGTTCCGCGGTCAAGTGGATGTGGCGAAAGACGTTGGAGAGAGACGGAATCAGTGCGCACCCTCCCACAGACACACCACACCACACCACACCACACGGCACACGCAACACCTCTCTGCGCGTGTGCGTGTGTGCGGATGTCTGTGTGGATGTCTGCAGCATGGCGGCCCAATGCGGAGGAGCGGGCGCGTTGGCCCAAGGAGACGCAGGACGAGTGGCAACGGATACAAGACACCAAGCCCCGGAGAGCGTAAGCAGAAGGCTGCTCACACAGGGGTGGTGGCATTGATGTGTTGATGTCTGTCTGTCTGTGTGTGTGTGTGTGTGTGTGGCTCAGTGAGAGAGAGAGGAAGCTCCGCGAGATGTGGCGGATAGAGCCAGAGCAGACATTCCCCTTCCCATGGCTGCTGGACGTAACCCTCCCACACACCACAACACACCACACACCGCGGACGCTCCACGTGTGTCGTCGTGTGTGTCGTCATGTGTGTGTGTGTGTGTGTGTGTTGATACAGGATGGCTTTGAGGTGGCGGCAGAGATCGAGAAGAAGACGGGGGAGCCGGCCATCTGGCGGTTCCGTGTGCCAGAGCTCAGCCCCACCTATGTCAAGCCACATAGCTACATTCTCGATGAGGCCGGCGAGGTATGAAGCACAAACACGATGGAAGATACCATAACCGCCCTCTCTCTCTCTCTCTCTGTGTGTGTGTGTGTGTGTGTGTGTGATCTGTGTGCCATGGGTGAGGTCAGATGGATGACCCCCTCGACGCCCCCTGGCGCCGGCAGATCGAGGCAGTGGTCCGTCAGGAGCTCAAATTCTACGAGCTCGACCTCTACGAGATCAACTGGCGGATCGGCGTGTGCGACGTCATCATACAGCCGATGCCGTGGACGCCCCCGCCGCCCCGGGCTAAGCGGTTCGTGAAGACGCGCAGGACCGACCCTGAGGAATGGGTCATGAACGAGCCGCCACCGGAGAAGCCGACCTTGACGCTTGAGCAGCTGCAAAAGGCGCTTGTGCATCTCGGTGACTGAGTGTGGGGTCAAAGGGATGGACAACAGGATGTGTATATGTGTGTGTGTGTGTGTGTGTTTAGAGAGGGTGTTGAAGGATATGGACAAGACAGACCATGTGCGGATTCTGGACCGGCACAAGCTGACGATGTCGACCAAGGGGGCCAGGGGGCTGCTCACCTGCAGGAGACAGCTCGACAACAACAGGTCCCCATCCACCCTTTCATAGACACGCACACTCATCCCCATCAGCCAATGAGCCCCCATCCCTCTGTGTGTGTGTGTGTGTGTGCGTGTGTCAGGGGGGAGGAGGTCATTGTCAAGATACTGGACCCCTTCTTTGGCAAGGTGACCATTTGATTGCACCGGCTGACAGACAGACAGACAGACAGGCCGGCCGCACACACGCACTCATCAATCATTGTGTGATTTGTGTCATCTGTGTGTGTGTAGGATGAGGACTTACACTGCCGCATGATCGGCTCCCCCAATGTGCGTGACGTCTGGGTCTCTCTCCCGCAAGAGAACGACCAGACGCTCAAGGTGCCCTGGAACCGCATCAAAGAGATCCGCATGGTCGACCCCTCCAGACTGCGCGACGAGGAGACTATTGCCGAAGAACTCGCCAAAGAGGTCAGTCAGTCAGTCATTAGGTCAAACAGCACAAGTATCTCTCCCATGCGGTCCTTCAACGTCAGGAGAGGACACCCGAGGCACCCCCACCACCAGAGGAGGAGGCAATCGCAGAAGAGGAAGAGGCAATCGAGGAGGTCGAGGAAGAAGCAGAGGTCCCCGGCACAGCAGCAGCAGCAGCTCCTTCTGCTGCTGCTGCTGCTGCTGGCGAGGAGGGTGTCTCGGCGGAGGCGGAGGTCTCCGAAGAGGACGTTGATGTGTTGGAGGCCAGCGAGTGGGCGCGTGACGTCGCTGGCGTGTTACGTGAGGGGGTGGGCAAGGAGGCGATGCTCGAGGATGACGAGAGGGTGGACGTCGAGGCCGACACGGATGCGATGCTCGAAGACTTGGCCTATGAACAGCGTGTGGAGGAGCGGCCCGAGTTCGACTTTGACCCCGAGTACCCCGAAGACCTCATGGACTCAGACTGACTGACCGATCCGATCGATGAATGGCTGCTGAGCTGGCGCGGCTAGTGTCTTCTCATTTGTGTCCATCACGGTGTAGATTGGCTGGCTGCCTTAATTGTGCATAGGCAGACAGAGAGAGGTGCGTGTGTGGGTGTGTCAGAGGGCGGATGGTTTAAGGCTTACCCTTTGTTTCTCGTTGATGTACAGATAGCCCTGACTGAATTGACTGATCGAGTGGGCGGCCAGTGGTGCTGTGCATATCTATTCATCCATCCATGGCCACTTAATGTTGCTTTCAATGCATCGATCGACTTGTGCCTGTCGGGGCGGCAGATTGGCGAGAAAGGGCGAAGGGTGTAAGAGAGAATCAAACGAAGTCTGTCTGTCTGAATGCATGGTACACACAACCGACCAGCCACGCACGCTAAAAATGCATTTCTGTTTGCGGTTGGAACGATTAAACGGCGACACGCGCACTCACGGGTCGCACCACAAACGCCTTTTCACAGACATACACTCCTCTAAAGCCGCCCTTCTAGCTGCATCGCGCAACACACGAGAGGTGAGGAGCTCTCATGGGGAGAGTCGTGCACCAGTGTGTGTGTATGTGTGTGCTCTGTACCGTGGTGAGGCACTGACTAGGATGCCTTCAGTTGTGGGTCGCCTGATGCATACAAACAGAGGGAGCGAAGAGACTTTGACGCGTCTCTTGCCGCCTGCCTTCCTGCTTCCAACTAGCATACCTGCCCAATGTGCCACACCTCGAGCTCGGTGCACGTGAAGTTTGAGGACTGCGCCAGGGTGCCGTGGCCCTCCTCGTTGACCGTCGGGCCCTTGTAGCCGTCGGGCAGCTCCCCCTTGTTGTTCCACTGCTGGCAGCTGCTGATGTCGGCCGCAGGGCCAGGACCAGCAAAGCCAAGCCAGAGCCGGCCGCAGCCGATGCACACATTTGCAGTCCAGTCCATATTATCGGCCTTCACCACCCCCTGTGTGCCGGCCACCTCCACCCGCTGACTCTCCTTCGGCAGCTTGATCTTGGTCGGCGCATCAAACGCACCCGAGAGCGCGAAGAGGAAGACGGGCACCTTGTATCTGCCGCTCGTCTGTGTGGGTCGTCTGGTGGCTTGATCTCGCCGTCGATGAAGGCGCCGAATCGGTGCGTGTCGCCATGTCGGAGGGCGAACATCAGGCCGCTCTTGCCGGTCACCTTGTTGAGGAAGGACTGGTACCCAAACGTGTCACGACTCGACCTGATCACGACACACACCGGGGAATTCGTCTGTCGGCGTGCGCTTGTTTGTGCCTGGGTGCGTGGCTCCCCTACTTGTAGATGAGTGTGATAGCGGGTGAGGCTTTGCCGGTCATGTCGATGACTTTGCCCCACTCCTCGGCTGACTTGACGATGAACTCATGGCCGTCGGCGGCCGGCAGATGGCAATACGGCTGGTACTTCAAGCTATACATCTCCTGACACACACACACACATGGTCAGCACAGCTGCTCCTTGCTGTGTGTGCCGCCCTCCGTCTCTTTGTCTCGCTTACGATGTCCTCTACGAAGTGACGTTTGTCGCCCTCCTCGACGAGCGGTGGCGAGATAACCTGACTATGCGGCATGGTGGAGATGCGGCGCGCAAACTCGACGATCATCATGAAGTGATCCGCTGGCACCTGACGCACCTGACGATTGGCGAAGCACGGGGGCGTCCTGACAGGCAGACAGGCAGGCAGAGATCCATCCGATGATCTTCTGAGCCTCCCCACGTGTGTGTCTTACGTCGAAAATCGTGTCATGAGTGGGTGGTTGTGGCCCAGCCGCCCGATTGTCTTGCGCATGATGCACACCTTCCGGCCCATGACCGTCACACTGAGGACCGCGTCAGCGTTGCTATCGCCGCTGGCGAAGAAGGGCTTCATGTGACGGATGAACGTCTCGATCTCCTCCTTCTGCCGCACCAGCCCCTTGTACGCCCTAAGGTAGGCGCGAAGAGACCGCTCGTAGGCACGCACTGAGTCCTGGATGGCCTTCTCGGCTGCATCACCCCCACCCTCTCCCCCCTGGCCGTCGACCTCCATCGGCGCGACTGCAGCTGCTGCAGGGGGCGGCTGCGGGGGGGCGTAGAAGTTGGTCTCGCGCATGAAGAGGGAGAAGTTCTCGGCGTAGAGGGGATCGGATGCCTTGGATGGCGGCAGCTCCACAGTGTCGGTGGAGCCCCGCTCGTAGAGGGTCATTCTGTCGAGTAGGAGGGAGAAGAAGGCCGATGACGTCTCGAGGTAGAGGTGGCCGTCGGCATCTCTCGGCAGGCCGCCCGCGTGGTGCATCAGCAGCACTGAGATGTATCGCCGCTTCATGAAGGGCATCAACAGGGCGCGACGACTCACTGGGAAGACCACACCGCCTGCACACTCGCACGTACACACAGCACCCATATGTACAGAGAACTGCATCTCGCCTTTCATCTCCTCTCTTCGGACCTGCGTTGACCTTCAACTCGCCGCTAGTCTCATCCTCATTCAGGCTCCACACGCCACCACATAAGGCAACAAGATCTTCTACCTCGCCCACCAGATCTCGCATTTCCTGCTTGCGCGAGTCGACGACGGCACTTGTCTGCTGATGTAGGCTCTCGAGGGCGCTAGCCGCGCTACCCACCAGCAGCTGGGCCGCAAGACTGCCGGTCGTGAGATCAGAGAGGGGCGGGGAAACAGCTCCAACAGCAGCCGCGGCGGCAGGTGGGCCGTCAGCTAGCTTCCGCTTCTTGGAATTGTCCTCCATCCTATCTACCCGGTCTTGACTGCGAGCTCGAGGTGGGGGCTGAGACGCCCAGCCCGCCAACGGAAGGCTTTGCGCGAAGAAACGACTCAGGGCACAGAGCCGAGCCGAAAGCGGCCCTGTTCTACGGCCGCAGACGACGTAAGCGAACAGCACCCTCCAGAAGTGGCGAGACTGATTAATAGACTAAGTGCCGTCACGTTGTCCTGTGGTTGTTCTTGGTTTGCAGAGGCAGCCACCATGGGGCAGCCATCGATGTATGACGCGACAGAAAAGCTACTGAAGCGCCTCAGCTTCCACTTGCAGAGGCTTGACGCCTTCCGGCCCAAGGACAGTAAGTCAGCAGAGGCCAGACACCCGTGACTGATCGTCTCCTCACCTCCTCTGTGTTCCGTTCAGGAGGCGGTGTGGATGTGGCCGAGCACTATGAGGCGCTGCAGAGGGAGCTACAGCAGACGCTGCATCAGCTGACTGATGTGTTCCTTGGGCTTGTCCAGCCGCAGCAGGCCCAGCGGCTCCATCGCAATAGACTCGATGCGGAGGTCAACGAGGCCTTCAGGAAATGCATCGGTGAGCCAGACGTGATGGCAGTCCTGCACTTATCAAGTCGCTGCCTCTTCATTACCATCCGGCCAGACGAGCAGGGCATTGTGGAGCGGGTTTGGAGGGAGGAGTGTCTCAACCGGCAGCAGAGAGCAGAAGCTGCGGCGAGAGACACCCTCAAGAAGATGGACCAAGTGGGCCGCATGTCTGACATGCCAAACAGACAGCGATAGGGACGTGTTCATGTGTGGCCGATCAGGAGCAGCGAGTGTCATCAGGTGTGGTTCAGGCACAGCAGGTGGGTGCAGGGATGGGCTGTGGGAGCGACAAAGTGGTGTCTCCTTTCTCCGCAGCTGTCTGCGATCCGGCACGACGCACTTGATGCCTTCTTTCTGGCCGAGAGAAGTCGCACCGAGATCCTCATGGTGAGCAAGTCAAAGACGATCGATCTCCGATCGTCTCATGAGATCGATCGTCTCATACATGTTCGGCTTTGTTTGTCTTGGACCGTCGAACAGAGGAGTGTTTCCCAGCTCTTTCACAAGTTGCTGGAAGATGAGTTCGACAGTATTGATAAGCAGGTCACCGCAGCACAGCAGCGCTGCACACAGGCAAGCAAACAAACTGATGTGTAAGGTTAATTGTGGCCATCGTCTTGCTTCCCCTCCTCTCATTCAGGCTCGTCTTGAGTTGAGCCAGGCTCGCGTTGAAGAGAGGGTCCACGCCCCCACCACTCACCACGTGACCGATCCATCATTGCAAGCGAAGATCGCACACCTGCAGGAGGCCGCACTCTTGCTATCCAAGCCGAATGCTGACACGCAGACCATCCGCCATCGAATCAGCGTACGTGATGGTCATGGTTCATGCGCCTCTGCAGCATGGGCAGCCGTCTTCCCCTGTGTGCCTTGCAGGCGTTGCTTCTGTCCTTGCAGCTGCAGCTGCTGTCATCAGCCGAGCCAATGCAAAGCCAGCTGAGCCCGCCAGCTGAGGAGCAGAGAGGCGGCAATCGCCCTGCTGATGACTCGAATGATGACGAATTTCAATGTAAGAACCTGACATAGTATGATGGTATGTCTCCACAACGCCCCGTTTTTCTCTTTGCAGTGGATCTGAATTTTGAGAGCGTTGGCGCTGCACCTGTATTGCTGGAGCAGCCTTACTCATCCACCCAGCCACCTCCACCACCACCGCCGATGGCCAGCGATGAGACGCAAAGTGGCGAGAAAATGCTGGTGAAGGATGATAACAAGGGACGCAGCAGCACCATTGAGAGGCCCACGGTGCTGCAGTCGGCTCAGCGGGCCACCACGGCTGCTGAACTGCCTGATGACAAGTACAGATGATTCAGCCACGAGAAATGCGCTTTTTGTATGGTGCGTTGTGTTGATGCAGGAGCGAGGAGTCTGAGACATCCGTTATGGTTGAGGTCGCAGGGGAGATTGCACCCCTGCTGCAGCAGCAGACTGACGGTACCAAGTAGCCATTCGCCCCCCCCCCCCCCCCCCCCCCCCCCCCCCCCCCCC